ACTCAACACGGGGAAACTTACCAGGTCCGGACATAGTGAGGATTGACAGATTGAGAGCTCTTTCTTGATTCTATGGTTGGTGGTGCATGGCCGTTCTTAGTTGGTGGAGTGATCTGTCTGGTTAATTCCGTTAACGAGCGAGACCTGGGCGTGCTAGCTAGGCGCCAGTACCGTTTTTTGGTACTGAGGCTTGCGTTCGTAGGGGGCGTGGACGTGACGAAGCGCGAGGATGCAGAGTCTGCACTGCAGACCGACCGGTGACGCGCGGCTACAGTAAGCATTCCACCCCAGCGGTGTTCCACACGGGGCTCCCCCCTCGCCACGGGGGCTCGCAACGAGGCGTGCGGGCGCGGCAGGGGCGGGGCGGCCGGCGGGGGAGACGTGGCGCGCACGGACTGTGTGTGGTTGACTGTTTGTGGTTGGCTGTGTGTGGTTGCGGCGGGGTTGCGTGCGCGCGGGCAGACAAGCTCGGAGTTTGATAGGAGGCGAGTTGGAATCCTATCGCATGCGGTGACCTGCGGTGATGCGGGGGGGAACCTTTAAACTTTCTACGTTTTTCGATCTGCCTGTCGACGCGCTGCGGCGTGCGCGCCAGCAATGCGGGGCGCGGCGGGGTCTTAGCTCTGTTGTAAATAAAGATGTAAGGGAGAACCCGCAGGCGCGGGGGGTTCCCCTTCCCGCCAGGGGCGGGCGTGCGCGCGGGAGGGCAGGAAGGACCCTTTGGGTGTCAAGGCTCTGTACTGTAACCTGACGGCAAGCGCCGCGCGCTGCGGCGGCCGCGGTCGCGAGACTCGCGCCGCGTGGCGGCAGGGCGCGCGGGCGCACTCGACGAGGCGGGCAGGGCTAGATATACGCTGGTCAACATTGCCGGAATTCCAGGAAATTGGGCAATTTGGAACGTGGTTTTTGGGCGCGACAAGCAGGTTTTCAGGGAGTTGGAATAGTACACGTGTAAAATTGGTGCAAAAGCTTTTGCACATTGTGTGCCATAGAGACCTTTGAACTTGAAAGTTTCAAGCTGTGTTCCAAATTACCCTTTTTTCCAAATTACCCTTTTTTCCAAATTCCCGGAAGGGTAGATACCCTTCGAAGGGTACTGTGCGCCGCTTGTCTTCCTGCTTGTTTCCTTCCTGCTTGTTTCGTCCCCCTTCAGCCTTTGGCTTGCACGGTGCCGCGCCTCTGTAATGTCGCGCCGCACTGCGCCACTGTTACAGAACTGTAAACTTGTCTACTGTAGTGTACACGTGCGATGGCGATCCGCCCCCGCGTCCCGTTCCACCGTGCGCCGTGCCGCGGCGTGGAACGCGCTCCCGGAGCACGCGCTCCCGGAACACGCGCTCCCGGAACGTGCCCCTGTGGCACAGCACCAAGGGTACAGTATTCCCGCAGCTTTCACAGTCGGCCCCCACTGCCACGGTAAACTTGTACAGTACCGTTTACCTTGAAGGTACCGTTGGGTGCCAATCCAGATTGGCACCAATCGCCCTGCAGCGCGGGCGCCCTTCGCCGCGCGCAGCAAAAAGCCCCAACAACGCCCTAGAGCCCGCCTCGCCGTGCGGTCTTCGCGGGCGAGCCCAACCCGGCGACCATCTCTCGCAAGGCAGTCGCGCGCGGGGGGGGGTGTCCTTCTCCTGCTCCGCTCGCAGCCGCGGCCTCGCACCACGTTGGCGGATA